CAAGGGTCCCCAATCTTGTTGGGTCCACAGGCACATTCTGGAATTTGAGATGCCTGCACAAAATGGCTCCCATGGAGCATGTGGCTAGTCAAGATCAGACTGCTATGGAAGCCTGTGTCTAGTTAAAATGAATGAGTGAAGAGAATCAGTGAGATAAAGAGGTTGGGAGGAGAGAGATACTAGGGACAGAGGCTGGGTGTAGAAAGAATCAGCAAGAAAAAGCAAGGAACAGGGGACAGAAAGGGAAGGTGGGGGCTAGGAACAAGAGAAGAACAAAGGGGACAGGTCTGTATGGATGGAAGAAGGCTTGGATGGCCAGGAGGCAACTCTTTCCTTATCTTCCTGCTTACTAAATGGTCAATTAGTGTCAAATTCAGGAACAGGAAGAAGAATCGGATTTTTAAGGTATTTATTTATTTAGACTTTTTGTATGCCATCCCATCGCTTATAGCCTCAGGACGGCTCACATAAAATAAACAAACATAATACATAGTAAAATAAATTAGCATTTTTAAGATTTTTAAATTTAAAAATAATTTTTTAAAATTAGCAATACAATTTTTAATGGATCAGGAAGAAAAGAGCTTCAGGAGCACTGAAGAAATGTATGGATTTCATCCACAATTGGCATTTGGGTCCATCTTCAATTCTGTAAATTGTAAACTAGGTTCATATGCAGGTCTGGAAGGTGCACATTTGGTAAAATCATTTTAAAGTACAAACTGAATGAATTTCTTGGCTATCCCTATCTTAGCATACAGTTTACTTTGGAAATACTATGAAGTCTTCTGTTTAAATAATATAGTGTCTCTCTTTAGTATTAATAACATATATCTAGACTTTTCCAAGTACAATTATCTGACAGATACATTTCCCCTTGAGGTCTCTAGTATATTTAACAATAGCCAGGTGTCTACTGTTTCTTTTTTATGGCATTAAAACATTGTTGAATCTTTTTGTTTTATTATTATTATTTTCCAAAGGGGGAGTTTCATTTTGACCTGTATGAAGTGAAGAAAGATGATTTGATTTTTTTTTCCTCAGACTCAGCCAACCTCAAGTAATTTATATGAAGACATTCAATATGGTATCAGGAATGCAAAAGGTGAAACTGTTCTAGTGAATGATGCATAATTAAAATAGGATGAGATTTGTACTATCAGTTATTGAAAGCCTCTCACAAGCTCATTGATTTGGAAAATTAGTGAGCCCTCTTGGATGGGTGCTTAGGGACATTGCCTCTTGCCTGGTGACATTTTCCCCTGCCCGATTGAGGCCTGTGATTCTGGTTTACAAATATAATGACTGCATCATATTAGATGTTCTAAGCTGTTAAATGGTGAGAACAAATGGAAGAGGTGGTAAAGGACACTTCTGCCTTGTTTAGATTTTAAGGAGAGAGTGCAAAAAGCCCCCACCTCAAGTAGCTTATGACCTAAAATTTAACACAGGGAAACAACAGAGGCAGAAGCAAACAGGGAAAGGATGTGTAATCCTTTTGGCTTAATTGCAGCCCATTTCTGTGCACAAGGGATGGAGTTTCTGACTCTTCTGTACAGTGCTGGCTCCAAGGTTTGGAGCAACCTTGGGAGAGAGAACTTCAGTGAGCTCCCTTCCTCAGAGTGTGTTTTCTCAGCAGCTGCTCTTGTTCCACATCTTCCTTTTCATCATGCTAAAATTTGTTCAACAGGCAAAGAGCAGGAGAACAAGGAGGAAGTGGCATCGACTGTTCCACCTTCTTATCTCCTCTGCTGCTTGGGCCAGACCAGAGGCAGCCAAGCACTCAGGTCACAGTGGTGCTGAGCAGAGCAATGGCAAGGTGCTCTTGTTGTTGGGCTCCTGAAGGGCCATGGGCGATCGGCATGTGTCTGACCATGCCTACCCTTGACACTGACCTTGGTTCTTTATTCAGAAAGCAGGACTCAAGTTGACTTTCCCAAAGTCATTATACTGGTCCCCTTCCTCTCCTGAGATGCCCAGCCTCAACTGTTTCCCCGTATGCTCAGTCATAACCCAAGCATCCATTTCAAGGTAGGCACATCTCTGCCTCACAGTGACCAAAAAAACCCCCAACAAAAACCTCCTTAGCACTGTCCTCCTACACAAGCACACATGTTTAGCCCTTACACTGAAAGAGGCACCAGGAAGGATGCATTTACTGCTTGGCATCAAGTCTAATGTCTGAAGGCACATGATTCTGCAATCTTGTGGAAGTTAAGCTAGTGCAATACCTGAAGGGGAAACAAATTCAAAATCTCTTTTATGCTGCTTTGACACCTGTGGAAGAAAGATGGGAAATAAATCAGTAAAAATAAATAAAAATAAATCAGTGGAGACCTGGACATATAATGCTTTGGCTGTGACTGAGGTGTGGAGACAGCATGGTAAGGAAATAGTGGAGTGGGCTGGCTTCTGAATATTTTGCACCCTGATCTTTGAATGCAAGATTACTACCAGGTAAGCCCAAAGAACTACTTTAATGGGCTTTTGGACTGGGAGTAAGCCCCTTTTGGAAGAATTCATAAAGTTGTCCTGTTAATCTTTAGTGTAATGCCAGCCCCTCCCCCCACTTGTGTGTGTGTGTGTGTGTGTGTGTGTGTGTGTGTGTGTTTTAACCTTTCTCATTCAGTTTGGTAGTAAAGAAATAACTTTTAAAAACAAACCAATTGTTGAAGTAGAAGAAAATGTCAGTGAAATTCACATAGGTGGAGTGTCAGAATCCCGGAATCTCAATTTGAGAAGAAGGAATAAAACTCGGGTTCGTGGGAAAGACCAAGCGTCCAGACCATCTGAGGCTTTATTGTTTTAACCCAAGGTTCCCGCGGTACACTCACAATATGCATGATGCATTACCGGGCAGGCAGAGGTGAACTCTGCTGCAAAGCTTCAATACCGTTACAGGGCATTTATAGGTACACAGGTACAGGGCAATTGATGACAGAATGCAGAGATTACAATAAGGTCATCACATACAGAACAGATAAAGAAATGTCAGTCAATCACACTGTAACAATGAGATTACAATATTTCTAATTGTCTGTACTGACACTTTAGTTGAGTAACTTGAACCCATCTCCAGGTCTGCTCAGACATGCAAATTCAAGCTACTAGAAACTATTCATGATAAGCTCAGACCCTTATCTCGACTCTAAACATTCTGCATGATCAGGGCACATGAAGCCCTCTGGGCTATCAAAAGATTATTGTAAACTGAATTCCAACAATGACTATTTACAATGTATATTTGGGCTAAAATGGCCTGTCTGCTGCAGCCTACAGCTAAAGCTGAGAGAAAGGAGTGGGGGAATGCCATTTTAAACAGTGACAGCTTGGTTTTGAGAAGGAAGACAGGATTTGATCCCACAATGCAAAGGCACACAGGAGTAATGCTTTTCAGACAGGATTTACCCAAATTTTCTCAACAAGAGTGAGGTTCTTGCACTTACTTAAGACATGGCCCAAAAGCATAGCTGAGAGTCCTGCCTGTCGTGGTACAGTCATGTCACTGGCCATCCACAGCCTTGGCATCTGCCTGCACTCCAGCCCAGGGAAGATGTCCTGAGGTAACTCCTTCCCCAGAGAGTTTTTCAGATGCATGGGCAGTCAGGAAGACTGTACAACAATGAAGGGATTTGTGTGTTGAGGGGGGGGGGGACTGCAGAGTATCCTTGGCCACCCTAAAATACTAGAGTAAGTTCAAAAACTCCACCAAAACAAATAGAAAATAATTTAAGTACTGTGAGAATAAGGCAATCAAATGCAAGCCTCTTTTGGCTGGGAAGAAGACTTAGAGAAACTGGAGGATGGATTCTGACACAGCACTTTCTGCCTCTTTCTTGGAGCTGGGTATGACATAGACCCCCTCAAATATGCTACAAGGTTTCTGGGGTGAGGGAGGTGTAATGGCAGCTCTGCTAATGACCGGCCCCATCTCTGAGAAATGGTTGAAAACTTTCTCAGGAGAAACTAATTGAAATAGTAAATTTCAAGTAGCTATTTGTGCCCAGCTATATTAATCATTATAGATGCCTGCTTTTCCTTGTATGTTAGAATATGATGCATGATGAATATCCAACAAATATTCTGATTTGCAGCTTTCCCATTCTCAATGGAAATTGAAAGGAATCTGCAAACCAAGCATTTCACTGGGCTATTGTTGGATGAATGAATGACATGGGTTCTTATGAAAGGAGTGAACAAGCAATACATGCTCTGTGTGGACCAGCTTTTCAACCATTTTTTCACCAAGTCAAATGAAATGTATGGATTACTGACTATCTAATTATTTCTTCCTATCCCCCCTCCTTTTTTCCCATCCTAACCTGTCATAAAAGTTGAGGACACATAATGCCTGCTTTAGATGCTTAGTTATAAGATGCTGATTAATAATACAAATTCATGTAATGGAATAATATAACTTGTGACCAAAGCGATGAAATTATAAAGCTTAGTGTAGCAAAATTCTGTTGTTCAGTACAGAAAAACCATGTGTATGTTGATTTGTAAAAAAAAAACAAAACAAAAGCAAAACAAAACAAAACCAAAATCGAATGATTAGGAGCAACCAAATTGTCACAGGATAATGAGCAAGTATCTGTGTTCCCTAGAACGTATCGTGCAGTTTGACAAAAGGTTTGAAAGAACTAATAAGTTTGCTTACTATTTTGTAGCATCTTGACAGATACTAATATCGACATTCCTACTCTAGCTTGTGGTGCTCAGAGTTTCTCTAGTGAAATGTGGTCTCAATAGCTTATTGTGGTAGCAGAGCTGGGTGATGAGGACGGGGTGCTTACTCTTTCCCAACAGACTGTTTTTAAAACAGCCCACAGGTGCTTCTTCCTAACCACCCATGTCTGTATTTCACACACACACACACATCTACCAGTAGACTACTCCTATACTTCCCAGGGTTATGCATTAAAGTATCAACTTTAGAGATAAAAGCTCTTAACCTTTTAATAACAATCTTTCACTTTTCCTGTCCTTTTGTATTGCAGTTATACAAGCAGAGTGGTTACCAATGGACTAAAGGCTCAAATTAATAACCCAGAACTGAAGGTCAAAGGATTGGACCCACATATCAGTAACCTAATTGAAAAACTGCAACATTTTAATCAGGTAAGTTCTCATAATAAGAGTATTTGAAGAGGCCTGTTTTCCCCCTTGCAATTAACATTATGTAAAGCAGGAGCCCCCAATGTAGTGTCCATAGGGGACATTCAGCAGAACTCATGAACCTCTCCATTCTCTGTGCCTTCAAATATCATTTGCAAGAAAAACCTTGGAAAACACTAAGCTTCCGGGGGGGGGGGGTTCTTCCTATTTCTTCATGCACCTGATGCAGATCAGCATTTGTCAAGCTGGCAGAAGAAAAAAGTTGTTCTCTGACCCCACCTCATTTTCTCCCCAAGACCTTTCTCCTTTCTGCTCTCCTCCACTCCCACCCTCAAGTTTTACCGTTTCTCTCCTCAAACTCTTGCCTTGTTATTTATCTCCCGTTCCTTTTTCCTGGCTGCCTTTGTCTTCCCTTCTACTCTCTAGCCTTGCTCATCTTCCCTACCTCCCAGCTTCTAGTCTTGCAATATCTTTACCCCACCCCACCTCTTTAGCTCACTGCTGATTAGCCAGACCCCCAAGAAAGCTGTTAGTCATTTTATGGTGGTGTTCACACAAGTTACCCAAATGTGCACATGAGTCCAAAAAAATTGGGGATCTCTACCAGAGTGGGAAAGCAGTGGCACACTGTCTACAGACACACTCTCATTTCTACCTCCTGCCTCTATCATTCTCTGTATGTCTTCTTCAGCCTCTTCTTGCTTCATGTTTTCATATCCTGAATGATCTGTGTTCTAAATCACGTACAAGTTTTCTGCTGGAGATGATTGTTCTTTGACACACTGAGGATGAATCAGTGATGGGAATACGATGGAGGAGGCAGGCCTAGTTGACACATATTTGGTGTTCACCTCATTGCATGAGGAGCAGAATGCTGGAACAGGTCTTCATTTGGTATCTGGGTCACAAATGGTGGGATATACAATTAACTGAAGTTTGTTCACATTCACCTGTTGTGATTCTGCAAAGAATTAAATAGAGTCTGGTGCATGCTAGTTGATCAGGCAAGTCTGTGTCCAGGCATGGCAGATCTGCACAGTTGTTTATAAGTTTGGTTGCTACTGTATAATCAATTAAACACGACAGTGTCTACCCAGAAGCATACAATGTAAGAGGGCATGGCGCACAAGATAAAAGGAATGGGATGGGAAGATGGAGAAAATTTATTCTTTTAGCACAGTTGCTGGAATGGCCCTGAGCTCACTGTCATTTCCCTTTATCCTTGAAGAAGTGTTCCCTAGAACCACCATGTGTTCATGATGACTCAGTGCCCTAAGGATTTGAAATAGCTTACACTAACTAAAGCAACAGCCTTATTGGAAATTGTGATACTATAGGAAGTAGTCCATAAGTTTTACGGCAGGTGATTTTTAATTTTCCAACTGATTTGCCAGTAGGTATACCAGAAAGGTGGTGACTATGTGCCTGCTTAAGTGATTCACTTGAGCTTTTTGGCCTGTGAGTGGCTGTCAGCACAGAAGTTCTGCTCCTCAGTGACAAATATATTAGGGTTCTGTTGCAGCTTCAATCTAGCATTTTTGTAAGCTATGTAGATAGTGTCAGTCCAAATTAACCAGAACTATGTACCACAGTTAACAGCAATCAATTTTCATTTAATGTAAGCATATTTTCTTGTCCAATTTGAGAAACTGTTGATAGTGGCATCTGAAGAGTATGTAATGACAGAATAGCATCTTCTTTCTCTAATCATTCACCATTCAAGAATAGGTAGCTTTTGACAACTGCTAAAGGCTGTAATATTGATTGTGCTGAATAGTGTGAAATGGAATTCCATTTATCTTGTAAATACATGGCTCAAATTAGCTTCCTTTTCTTTTAACTGGGAAACATAAAAGAGGGCTGTGTAAGGCCTTTTTCATGATATTGGGGAACACATAACTAATTTTCTATGTCTAAGGGTTTTAAAAGTAGTTTATGGTATGGCAGGAAGGCTGCCTTATATAGGGGACTACTAAACACCCCATTGGCCCCAAGCTATTGGTGGATTCTTTGGAATTCAGAATCCTTTGGCCTTCAGAATAAGAACAGCATCTACTAGCTGTAATTCCACAAATAAAATAAATTCATTTTCATTGAGGGTAGGCAGAAGGTAGATCTCTAATTTTTTTGGATTTCAACCTCGAAAAGCAACTTAATATGACCAATAATCAGAAATGCTGGAAGCTGAAGTCTAAAACATCTGGAAACCTTTTTTCTGCTCATCTGTGCATTGGATCATATATGATTAGGGAGCTGTGAAGAATCCAATCATGGGATGAAAATCTGACAGATTTTCATGATTTGATCTGCAGATGACTCATGGATTTCTGTCTGTAAGATGAGCTGTGGTTTGCAACTTATCCAATTCTATGCAAATTATAGTAAATCCATGTGCTTTGGAATGCTGATTTGACCAACCATGAATTATGCAGTTTGTATAATGTTACACGCATTGTCTCCATTTGTGCAAATTTTCTTATCTTTTTTTAAGATATGCAAACTGCCTCAAAGACACACAGGGGAAAAAGCCCAACTCAGCTCACTTCCAATCACTGGATCAGAAGTCAGCAGAAAGTCCATTGAGCTCAAACATGCTGGACTTCTCAGTGTCAAGATGTCTCTAATTACCTCCATACTTATATCTCTTGCAGGAAAGGGACTTTCTATTGACCTTTAGGAGAAATGCTCCTTAAGTGTAGTTCTGCCCCCATCAGATGGAGATTTGTAAAATGCAGCTGGTTGCATGGATTAAACAGAATGCTTATTATTGCCTTAAGATGCTTTGTTTTCAAGTAATATTAATTACTTTGATCATAATTTTACTGAGATCTCACCAGATATCAAAGCATCAGAGAAGTTGCTACATTTTTCTTGTAAGCTTTCAGCAGAGCATTAGGCATACAAAGCAGTTTTCTTGGGTCCTTTGACCCAGTGCTGAGATAATTTCTGAATAAAAACCAGTACTCAGAATTTACTTAAGATGACAATCCTGTACGCAGTTACTTGAGAGCAATCCCTATTAAATTTGATTGGGCTTACTTCTGAGTAGATTAATGTAATATTTTCAGTCACCATTTTGCAATGGTAGTTTCTATACCTTAAACACCTCATTTCATTATTTTCAGTGTAATGATTTCTGAAGCACAGTATGTCAGCAGTGACTGTTGAAGTTTGGAGTTTCTTTATTTTGCTTGTGCATAGTGTGTATCACAACAGCAGTTGCAGTGGTGTACATAACCAGCACCCATGTTTGGGGGGGGGGTGGTTCTGTGTGCACACTTTTGGATAATCCAGGGACTTTTGTACTTTCTATCTGCAAGTCTTGCCCAGGAGAACTACAAATGACAGAGGCCCATCAGTCACAAAATGATGCTACAGCACCAGAACAGGACCCAAAATGGTGACAGATAGAAGTGAAAGTTGACATGGTAAACCTCCAGTTCCTGATATCATTTCATATGGATGGCTGATCCCTTCTTGAAAATTCTAAATTCTTTGTCACACCATGTAACAAGGAGTTCTATAATTCTAATTCAGTTATCCTCAAGTTAAGTCCAGGCGTTGGGTCTGGAGCTAACATGACTCCTTCTCCTCACTTCAGGAAGATTTTTGTCTAGAGTCCCATAGACTTTTGGCATCCACCAGCCTACCTGTCATGACTGGTTTTAATTTTATTCCCTCAGATTTTTTTTAAATTAGATAGTTGCTGTGCTTTGTTTTAGTGCAAAATATTGATTTTTATCCAAAAGTGTTTTCAAATCAAATTATTATGGAACTTGGGTGCACAATCTCTGGTTTGTATTCAGATTCTTGGTTTGTATTCTTGAATACAAACCAGAGATTGTATACCCAAGTTACTCTTCTGTTAGTATTGCCAGTTTGTATTCTGGGAAATGAGTCTTTGCTGACCTGCCATGCCAACAATGGCTGCTGTTTTCTGAGTGGCAGCCATAAGTCTCGAGATTTCAGATGTGTCCACTGATGCAAAGGGGTTAGGAACTACTATGCTAAGTAGAGAAAACTATTTTATTTTCTCTCATCCATCTCATGCCCGCCTTTTCTTCCAAGTTGGAAACACAAGAGAGTAAGTTTTCTTATTCTTCTCCTGTCATTTCTTCTCCCCTTCTCCTTTCACATTTAACTTTCACATACCAATTCCCAACTGCCAATTTCTTCAAAACTTTTCTACTATTACATTTATCTTCAGTTCCTCCTATAACAGTTTTCCTCTTTATCACCTTATTATTCTCAAGTGTGTGTGTGCCTTTGTTATTACTGCCCTATTTGAGAAAAGGGTACAGCATTTATAATTGTTTAGCTTTAAAATAAACTGAGTAAAGGGAGATATGATACAGGTGTACAAAATTGTGCCTGGTATGGGAAATCTGGACAGGAAAACATTTTTGTTCCTCTTTCATAATACAAGAAGTGAGGGTCACCCATGAAGCTGACTGGTGAAAGATTCAGAACAAATAAATGGATGCACTTCACAGAATACATAAATGATAGAATTCACTTCTACAAGATGTAGATATACCCAGTGATTTGAATGGCTTTAAAAAGAGATTGAACTAATTTATGGAGGATAAAGACAATCAATAGCTTCTCTTTTTGATGGCTGTATCCTACTTCCAGTATCAGGGGCAGTAATCCTATGCATCCCAGTTGTGAAGAACATGGGTGGAATGATACTAATACACTGCTTGTGGGTTTCATGGGAACAGCTCGAGGGATTGGCCCTATCCAAGACTCACTGGACTGATTATTGGCTAAAAATTGCCTTACAGCTGCTGGCAACCTCAGCTGAAAGTTTTGATCATTCCTTGAAAAGAGGGGCCAAGTGGTGAAACTACTCATCTGGCTTTCAGTGTACAAAGACTGGAGCCAGGGAGCCTTGTTATGAGAATCGATAATTAGTAGGCTGCTCTACCCTGCCCAGATTGAATCAGAAAACCCTGAATTTAGTGTGGCGGGAGGGGGCAGGAAACTAAGACTTGGTCCTG